GGGAAGATGAAGGGCCTGCAAGAGGGCCCCGAGCTTGGACAGGCGCTCGAGGTTTTGCCCACTGTATCCCTGGGAATGATGCCCGTAAAAAGTACAAACTACAATGCTATACCCACGCTGCCTCACAACAACAGGAATGAAACCGTCAAGCATACTCATACCCTCCGAGCATAACTTAGACAGGTCGCTGCTATGTTCTGACAACAAATGAGTCTGACGATGGCCCTCAGATAGGAAGATTTCTCCACCTTCCGTGGCGCGCGACTGCCCCGAAGCTGTGAGGCATCGGCGCCCTGTAGGCCGTGCTGCATTCAAGTGGCACCTAAACTTAGCTAAGCGTGCTTTCTTCTTCCACTCCGTTGCTGCCTTCTCGCCGATGTGACTCTCACAAATGGCGAAATGCTGGAACACTTTGGCCGCGTGCAGGTGGCACGGGTAGTCCCACGACTTGCGACCGAGGATTGTGACGTTGCTGAAAAAATCTGCGTGACCGATGCCGATGCGCCCCCATCCGACGCAGTGGCCGATCGCCTCGAACGAGAAGTGGCAGGTCGCGGTCCAGACGCCTCCCCTGCTGAGGTGCTGGTGTCGGGCTCCCTGGCTGCTCTCGCTGAAACTGCAGAAGATGGCGTAGTAGGGCTCGAAGATGAACCTGCCGACGCCGAGAATGCCGAAGTACCTCCCAAACTGGTGCCGGAGGCCTCGCAGGGGGAAGGCGTCCCCGCAGGCCTCGAAGGGGCCGAACTCGGCCCCGATGACGATCACGCCGCAGCGGTCGGGCCGCTGGCGGCGTTGGCTGCTGCCTGCGCCGCCTGCGCCGCTGCTGCCGTCGCCGCCTCCTTCGCCTTCCTGATGCGCTGCACCTCCGCCTCGATCGCCGCGGCCCGTTCGGCTGCGGCCGCGCCTGCTGCCTCGGTGCCCGTTGCCGTGCTGGGCGGCGCGCTGGCCTCGGCCGTGGGCGCCGCAGCAGGCGGGGCCGTCGCCTCAGCAGCGCCGCCGCCCTCGGCCTTGCGCTTCTTGAGGTGCCTCTCCGTGACCGCCTGCTGCATCGCCTTGATCTTGTCCCTCCAGGACGTGACGGTGTCGCTCTTGCTGCTGAGGTCCCTCTGCGTCGCCTGCAAATGAGCCTCCAGCTTGAGCAACTCCTCTTTCTCTGCGCCCTCGCACTCGTACTCGCCCGACCGAACCTTCTCGAAGAAATCAGCGTCCCAGTCGAGCTCTAACTTGACTTTGTCATTCGCCTGCATACCTTTGGCCTGCTGCACGTTGGCCTCGCCTGCTGGCACGGCTGTGAAGCCTGCCTGCGCTGCGAGGGCCTGGGCGGCCAACTTGCGAGCGATCTCTGCCTCTGCCAGCACGCGCACGGTCTCGCTCTCCTTGGACTCGGCGCGAAGCAATGCCTCGCGGCATCGACTGACCTGCTGTACTGCTTGATCATGCTTGTAATTGGCGTCCTTCCAGGCGTTCGCTGCCCTCCTCACAGCCTCCTCGGCTGTCAGAGGAGGGGCGGCTGGCTTCACCTGCTGCTGGATGGCTGCCGTGAGAGCCGCCTTCAGCAACGGGTCGCTGGTGACGCCGAGGGCCTGGGTGAGGATGTCGACGGGGGGCGGCGCCACGGCGAGCTGAAGCAGGTTGCCTCCTGCCGCACCGCCACTGCGTCCGCTGCCGCCTTTACCTCCTGGCCCTGCATCGTTGACTGCACTCTTCGGCTTGTAGATCTTCACTGGCCGAAAACAGCGCGAGCACTTGTTCGAATTAGAAGCCAGCATGTCGTTCCACTCGTGCCTATTGCAGCCGTGGCACGTGGACCAAAGACGCGCTGGCATGGGCTGTCGATCCGTAGCTGTTGCCGTAGCCTTCGACCTTCCCATCTCTCACTCTTCGCCAACCAGATCTCCTGCGCAGACTCGGGCAGCGGGGCTGCGCGCTGGCGCAGCTGACTGGTTGCCCCCCAAGCAACTCGTGGCGGTGGTGAGAGCTGGGCTCGGAGAGCT